CCCACAATATTATTTGAATAGTTAATCAATTATTTAAACATGTATGCATGTTTAATTTTAAAATTTAATCTTAAAAAGTTAATTTTAAAATTAACTTTTCTTTGTTCAAAAGGCAAATAAAATTTCAATTTAATTTTTTAAATTTTTTATTTTTTCAGCACCAGCAACTTTATTGAAAATGGGGGGCGGGCCCTTCCCCCGCCCCGTCTCCGGGGCACTGGCGGCGGCTCTCGGCTCTTGGGGTCCCACAGTCTGAGGGTCCGAGCTGCCTGCAGCCTGAGAGCAAAATTTCAATTTTGAGCATCTTTACGTATAAGTGAACTGAAAGGATGAACGGCTTATTTAGTGAAGCATGAAAAACAGGATTTTAGAGTTATGTCAGTTATTAACTTCTAATTTGTGTGAAAGAAACTTCCAGAACTTTCCCTTTCCATAACTGGTAATTAAGTCATTACTCTGACTTGAGCAATTAGGGGTGAGCTTCTTTTTTTTAAATAAAAACAAAGGTAATGGGAGACTCCACAGGAACCCACATCTAGATTAGAAACAGCTAGCAGGACCCAAACGACAACAAAGCAACTCGATTTGAAATCACAAAGGAAATGAAGATAATCCATTTCAACTCCAAACAAACAGGAGGGAGAAGACAAAGGCAGAGGAGGTGTTGGCTCAGGGACATTGAGGCACTGATGTCCACCTTCCAGCTTTCAGTGGGAGACAATTCTCATCTACATTCCAATAAATGTTTGTCAATAGTGGATTGTCTTAGGCAGCCCGAGAAGGCGGTTTGAGCTTGTGAAACTTTGAAATTGAAACACTACATTAGCATTAAGAAAGTACTTTGCTCAGAGAACTGTGCCCATTTCGTTGTTCACATTCTTAAGCCTCTCACAGTCTGGTTCCTTTTCCCAGTGTAACTACAGTCCAAACGCTCTGACCCAAGTATGAGAGCAGAGCTCTCCTGAAGGAAGCACTTACTGAAATATGGTAGCAACCTATGGGAATACAATGCTTCCCCCTCTCAAGAGTGTTGTCAACTTCCTAATAAATTTAACTGTTGTTTTTTTTTTTTTAAGCGTGGATAGTCCCAAGTGTGGGATATTTTGAGTTTACAAGGATATGAAAGTGAATCTGTTCATTACAAATGACTTTGGATTTTGCTCTTTGACCAGGTGAGCGGTCTGTGAGATGCTATTAGCTCGACACTGGGCAATTTTCAGTTATCTATGAGATTCTGAGCGTGGACATGGCCATCACAGGCTAAGTTGTGCTCTTCAGGAAGGGAGGTATATTCAGTGCAGCTGTGATATCTGGCACTTTCAGCTCTTGATGGCTTCATCAGAATATAACGCCAGTGTAAGTTGAGGCAGACCCGGAAAGGAATATTCCTTATCCTCCTTGAACCCTTTCAAGTACACTCATTTTGCCTTGGCTTATTTAGTTCTAGTTTGGAGGCCATACCTGGCAGTGTTCAAGACTTACTCTTGGCTCTGCAGTTGGGGATCGCTCCTCACGGCGCTCGAGATTGAACCCAAGTTGGCCATCTGCAAGGCAAATATCCACTATCCTTGTCCACTATCTTTTCTCTCCATTCTGTTTGATTAACCCCTGGAGTCCTCATGCTACACCCCTTCCAGAAGGCACAGACACAGAAAATCTAATCAATTCAGACTAGTTACCATGATGATTCTCAAACTCAGAATCACAGACTCCAGCACAATTTTTTAAGGCAAAAATTTTTATGTGTGTGTGTTTTCTCCCAACAACTGTCCCAGGTGGGCTTGATAAAGTGAACTGAAACGTTTAAAAAGACACGATTCAGTAAAATTCAGCCCTTCTAGATTGGATGCTCCTCCCAATTCCTTTAGTCAAGTTGGTGTGATCATTAGCAATATCTACATCATCACCGGGGAAGTGATTTTTAAGTCAATGAACTTTTTTTCTTTTGAGCAGAACAATTGGGAATTGTCCACATAGCCCCTGACCCTTCCTCGGTCTTCCCAGTTTTCTCTTTCACTATCATGTCACCCCTTCAGGTGGTGCATTTGTTGTAACATTGGAAAGTGACTTTGAAACGACATGGCCAGGGCTAGCCTTGCTTTAGGGGCTGGGCTGATGCTGGGAACCACGCTCACTTGAACAGGCTGCCTGGTAATTTCTCTCGCAGAGATGCTCTGTACAGATTAACCACATAATGGCTGTGATTGTTCTGAGACCGTATCTGAGCACAGGTGGCAGCAGGGTAGATTTGACTAAGCACTTCGGTTGGTGCCTGGGAGCCCTGCTATTTATCCTACCCCCATCTTAACTTTCTGGGCATCTGTAATGACTTAAGTGCACAGACCTGTGAAAACAGGGTATTAGCCTAGCACAATATCTTAATTTATACCTTGACTCTTTGCAAGGGAAGGGCAGGTGGATACAAGGAGTTTCAAGATGAATTGCTCTTGGATTGTTTACAAACATGCTGGATATTCATACAGGATCAGGAAATACATCATTCACTCCCTAAGACAGCTGAAAGTACACATTTTAAAGTTGTGTGTCTCAGTTGGGGGCCTCCTGGCCCCTTGTGGACCTCCAGGGTGCTTTAAAGGGTACCACAGGTGAAAATCACACAAATAGGGCACCATATAAGACCGGAGGAGGGGAGCAACAGGAAATAAGGCCAGAAAGGGGCCACCGTGGGTAAAAGGTTAGGAAACTGTTTTAAAGTACTTTCCTTTTTCTTTTTTTTTTTTTTGCTTTCTGGTCACACCGGGCGATGCTCAGGGGTTCCTCCTGGCTCTGCACTCAGGAATCACTCCTGGCAGTGCTGGGGGGGGGGGACCATATGGGATGCTGGGAATCGAACCTGGGTCGGTCGTGTGCAAAAAAAAAAAAAAAAAACGTGCTACCCACCATACTATTGCTCCAGCCCCAGAAGTACTTGACTTCTTTTTTTTTTAAGGAAATAATTATTTTATAAATGTTGTTGGTTTAAGACATCCAAATGGCTACCATAAAGACATAATCATAATAGGAAATTAAGTTCCCAGAATGTGCCAGTGAAAATTGATAAACCATATTCACATGCATAATGACCTAGAAAGCACAATCAGAATCAGTACATATTATAAAGTGAAAAATACAATATATCTAGCTCCTTGATTTATTTGGATTTAAGTACTTGACTTCTTAAGGAGTTTTTATTTTCTCAATTGCGGATGGATTTTTTTTTTCCTTTCCAAAAAGACCTTTGCAACATGTTATAGTTCTCAAGCGTAAGGAATAAACTTCTACTTGTAGGTAATAACCCCCACGGTGGATAAAAGAAAACCTGAGGGCTTGGATGCCGGCTGGGAGGGGTCCCCTGGAAGAAGAAACTTCCGACCTGAGTTTTAGGGGATGAGCAGCCGTTGGCAAAGTCCCCAGGGAGAGCTTCTGGAATCATCTGTGGCCCAGATCCATTCGTTTCTGTTTGCAAGCTGCCGAGCACCAACCCGGAGCCTGGCTGCGCCCGGTGACTCACCGCCGCGCCCAGCCCGGGAACTGACTGGGTTGGACCCGGTTCCAAGTGCCCGCCAATCGCGTGCTCGGATGTCCTGGCATTTAAAAAATGCTACCCAAGCTTCTACATCTTCGCCTTCTCAAGTTGCCTCCGTGTTACCGGCTGGCTCAGAGCAGCCTGCAGAGCCGCGCAGGGCCAGGTGCTGCGTTTTGAGGGCGCCAGGAAGCTTGTTTCGAAATACAGGTCGCCAAGCCATCGCCCCACCAAATTCCAAGTTGCATTTTAAGCATTCGCAGCCGCGAGACATCCTATTATGACATCTTATTATCTCATTCCTACTTTGGACAAACTGGCAGGCTATCGAATGTAGCCCGCCCACAGGGCAAAGTCTGGCAAACTCCCCGTGGCGTACCCAATATGCCAAATACCAGTAACAATGATGGGTCTCATTCTCCTAAAGAGCCTTGAATATAATCTCAGGGCTAGGATGAAGGAGACGTTACTGGGGCCTGCTCGAGGCAATCGACGATTAACAGGATGATTTGTGATTTGTGATTTTTAAACAAGGTTCCCCGGTACTCCAGGTCACAATACCTGGCGGCCTGAATAATACTTTATCCATCTCAGGGCCATCTGCCTCTCTTGGCTTCCTTCAAGCCCAGGGAAAAGATCACAGGAAAAGGTGCAATTAGCCACGTCTTCTTCCAGTTGACACAACTCCCAGGTCCCCGCCGTTCTGGAAACGTCTTGCAGCTCGGGCTGCGGGGAGAGAAACTCAAACCGGACAAGCCGCTCCTGGAAACTCTCCGATCAGCCTGCGATCGAGGCTTTGATCAGCTCCACGCACCGCTTCCCTCCCGGGGGGTCGCTCGTCCGCTGAGTTGCATTAACGAGATGCACGTTGAGCCGGTTCCAGGGTCTGCTAAAGATCAAAGGCACAGAAGACCACCCCCCCACCCCCTCCCCTGCGCCTTTTCCCTCGGGACTATTTGCTCTATCACCAGAGGTCGTGGACTCAACTCCCCCCAGCCGCGCCTACCTTGGTGGGGGTTGCAGGCAGCAGACCGAGCTGCACCGGGTGCAGGAGGCCCCGCGGGGCAACGCAGGCCAAGGCGGGGTGGGCGGGGCCTCGGTGGGAGGCGGGGCGGGGCCTCGGTGAGAGGGGCGGGGCCTCGGTGGGAGGGGGCGGGGCCTCGGTGGGAGGAGGGGCGGGGCGGGGCGGGGCCTCCGTGCAGGTGGGGCGGAGCGCGCCTGCTGGGCGGGGCCGGACCGCGCGGAAGCGCCGGGCGTGGTTGGCCGAGGGCCGGGGCTCTTTGGGAATGGGCGGGGCAAGGCGGGCCGAAGACGGGGCGGGGCTCCGCGCCGGGGGCGTGGCCAGGGCGCCCGGGGGGCGGGGCTCGGGGGCGGGGCGGGGCCCGGGCTGGTGTCCGCGAGTCGGAGTCGCCGGCAGCCGGCCGAGCCGGGGCGCCCGGACACTCCCCGCCGCGCCCGGGAGCAGAGCGGTTCGCGGGGCTCGCCGGGCTCAGCCGCTGTCCTGCCGAGCGGAGCGGCACCCCGAGCGCGGGGGAAAGCGGAGAGGGGGTGGTCGCGCCCCCCAGCCCCCCAGCGCCCAGCGCCCAGCCCCCAGCGCCCAGCCCCGCGGGCGGGATGTGCCCCCGGCTGTGCCCGGCCGGCGCGCGCGAGTGAGGCGACTCGGAGCAGACAAAAGGCGGCGCTGGGGACGGGGCAGTTCCGGAGACGCGGGGTCCCGGGCGGCCGGGCCCGGGCGATGGGCGCCGGACAGCCCCGCGGGCTCGGGCTCGGGCTCCGGCGGGCCGCGCCGTGACGCTGACCCCCGCCGCCGCGCGCGCGCTGGACGCCCGGGGCGCACGCCCGGGAACAATGGACAGCTTCTTCCCCGAGGTGAGTGCGCCGCCGGGACCCCGCTCTCGGGCCGCGCCTCCCCCCCCCCCCAACTTCGATCTTGAGCCTGGGGGTCGAGGGCCGGGCCGGGCCGGGGGTGGACGCGGGCATCGCGCCGCCCCGCGCGCGCCCGGCTCCCGAGTCCGGGAGGACGAAACTTGGCCGGGAGCGGCGGGCTCGTCCCCCGCGCCCCCTCCGCCGGGCGGTCTCGGCGCGGGTCCGCCGGGGCAGGTCCCGGGACGCGCTGCCCAGGTGAGCGACCTCGGGCGGGGTGGGGGTGGCCGGCGGCCCGCCCGCCCGCCCGCCCACCGTCGCCGGACCCCGGTGTCCCCGCGAGCGTCCCGGCGGCCCCGCAGCTCCGCGCGTTGCAGCGGCGTCCCGGGGCGCAGGACACCCGAAGTTTTTTGGGTGGTGGTCGTTTTCAATCCAAGTCCCAGCGTGGGGGGCGAGGGGGGGGGGGAAATGCCTTTTTTTTGTTGTTTTTCCCCCAAGAAAGGTCTGGTATTTCCTCTGCCCGACGTGCCGGCTTCCTGTGCGCGGAGCCAGGCTGCGGGCAGCGCGGGGGCAGGGGCAGCCGAGGGTTTAATCATTCACGCGTGGCCGCCGCCGCCGCCGCCGCCCGGGACCTTTGGAGTCCAGGTGTGTCCGCCGTGCTCCCTGCGAGGTGCTCCTGCAGGGTCTCCCCCCCACCCCCACCTCCGGGGGAGCGATTCGGAGCCGGAGCTCAGAGCGTGCGCGCGTGGCGTGCCGGGTCCCGGGCCGGCTGGGAGCTGGCCGGTCACCGGGAAGCCAGTTTCTGGGCAAAAGTTTGATCTTTTTTGGGGGGGAAAAGCTCAAACTTCGTGCCCCCTTTGGGGTCACTCGAAACCCTTGGCTGGAGGACCCCTCCCCCCGCCCCCCTCCCCATGAGAGTCGCTGCGGTTTCTTTGCTGCTCCCCCACCCCACCCCCCCTTTTTTTTTCTCTCTTCCTTTCATGGTTGTGTTTATTTAATAAATTCTGTTTAAGTTTGAGGTTTGAAAGTAAACCTCGTTGGCTTAAGGGAGTCTGCGTGAGTTTTCACTGAAAAGCAGGGAGAGGTCGGTGAATCCGGAGCGGGTTTGGGGAATCTTCCAGCAAATCAGGTCCTGGGGGAGTTTGTCCTCTAGAGTTCTCAACTTGCTTTCTTGCGGGGGGTGTAAGAGGATACATTGTTTCAAGTCCCTCTCGCTTTCGCTGGATACTTTCTCAGTGTGTTCGCAGCAGCGCGTCTCTCTACCTCCAGGCCCCAAGCGATAAGTTTATTCCTCTGGAATATCTGTTCTTTTCCACGCGTTTTCTCAGCTCTGATGCCCGCATGTCCTGGAGAGAGCTGGGCTGGAGCAGAATTGATCATTCCTCAACACGTATTTTTGACTTGAAAAGATACGTACTTGTGAGACTGGAGCATTTTTCCGGAGATCTCTGTTCCATGCCTGGTTGAAGGCTCCAGATCCATTTTTTTTTCCTTTGTTTTTTACCCAAGTGGCAGGTTTTACCAGCGATGAAAGAGCAGTGCACTGCGGTTAATTGCTTTCATCTGTTAGAAAACCTCTGCTCTGCCTGCAGAACACAAACTTTTTTTTTTTTTTTACTTTATAGGTTTTTATGTTCTGGCCACTTCAGCAGTCTGATGAGACGCAAAATTTGTATTTAAATTTACTGGGGTCTCAGTTTACATGAAAGGGGGGGTGGGGGGCTTCTCTAGCTTGGGGAGAGCACTGCCCCCTAGTGCAGGTGCTAGGAACTGCAGGATGGGGGCCGGTTGCCCCCCGCCCCCCAACTAGAGTGGATTCCTTTCCTTAGAATCTCGGTTCCTTGGTTGATGTCTTTTGTTGCCCCCCGCCCCCCAACTAGAGTGGATTCCTTTCCTTAGAATCTCGGTTCCTTGGTTGATGTCTTTTGTTCCACATCCCTGATGTGGTACCTGGTGTCAGTCGGCCACCCACTCCACCCACTTTCCTAGATGAAGAGTCATTGCCCAGAGTTTGTTTGCTTGCTTTTTGGGTCACACCCGGCGATACACAGGGGCTCTGCACTCAGGAATTACTCCTGGTAGTGCTCGGGGGACCATATGGGATGCTGGGAATCGAACCCGGGTCAGCCACGTGCAAGGCAAACGCCTTACCCACTGTGCTATGGCTCCAGCCCCAAGTCATTGCCCAAAGTTGAATAATCTGTTGTCATGCAACCCAGAACGCTTTTTCCTCTGGTGTCGGGGTGCACTCGTGTATCCGGGGGAAACATTCATGGCATGAAGTTTTTTTTTAACTCTGGTGAGGTGCGTGTATTGCAGTATTTATTTTGAGTGAGCCTTCAGAGTTCTGGTCCTGAAAATCGACCCTTGGAATGGGGAGGTCGGCAGTGTGGGTCAGAGGGGGCACCGGCCTCGTGTTCAGACTCCCCATGTAGACACCCTGACCCCCCCTCCCCCCGTTTGGTGTCTGGCAGCAGCCTCCCTCTGATCAATTGGCTGTTGAAGACAATTTTACATCTGCTTGGACTTGTGGGGGTGACAGATTCCCACGGAAGCCGACTGGAACCTGCTTCCTTCTCACTGAGCCCTGCCCTGGGCTTCGATCGCATTCCTCCCGGGGACTCGGGGAGAACGACTTGTCACTTGTTGGACAGCAGTGTAAAGCAAATACTCTCCGTTACGGGGACGCTGAGCGAGAGGACACGCGGATTAGCGGACGAGTGCATGGCCAAATGGTCAGGCCAGTGGCTACTCTTTGTGACTGGTCGCTGCTGTCTTCGAGCGAGACTGAATTTCTCAGGCTGGATACCATTGGCCCCTGGTGGACTGGTGGAATCTTTGCCGTGGGGGTGCCCTGGTCTCTGTCCGCTTGAAGCCGGAGATGACCCCGAATCCGGATCAGCCACATACCTGCAGGTGTTGCCAGAGGAGCCCCCACCCCAGCCCCACCTCCACCCCTCAGGAAACCTCCTCATCCAGAGCTCCTGGCTGGGTCGGTCCTCGCAGAATTAATTCCAGTGCGTGTCGCGGGTGCAGACTTCGTGCCTACGCTTGCCTGTTTTAAATAGCATCAGGCGTCTTACTGCCAGCCAGCAGGATGCTGGGGGCCTGGCCACGGCCGGCTTCACACCTCACCCCCGGGAGCCGAGCCTCTGAGGGGGTCGCCCGTGCTTGGCGGGGTCTGCAGTAAAGTTTCACGGCTTCTCGTGAGTCGTGCAGGCTGGGAAACTTTGTTTTTGCAGCCTGTGGAGGTAGGCTGTTAAGTTTTTTTAGGCAGGAACTAAGATTAGGTAAGTCGGTAACCAGAAGCAATTAAAAAACAAAACAAAAAACCCAGCAGCCTCCGCCAGACCATAGTGCAGAGATGCTGGGTGCTGATGTTTAGAAACGGGCGGACCCGGTTTCCATGTCCCCGGGGCCTCGGAGACGGTGGGGCCCCGTGAGTGGGAGCTGGACTTGGCCACTCCCTGGTTAGGTGGGGCAAAGAGGCCACTCAGGCTCAAAGGCCTTTGAGGCTTTACTGATGGGACAGTAAACCCCTGATGCTTTGGTTTTGCAGCTGAAGTCTGGAGCACTCACGATGCCGCCACAGCGGGTCCGGGGGTTGGAAGCGCCAGTCTGGCGCTTACAACCTGGTGTGCTCAGCTCTGACGCCCATCAGTACTGGAGATGGTCTATAGAAACGCCTTGTCTTCACTTTCCTCCGGGAGGTCCCTGGATGGGGTGCAAACGGTCTTTGAGCCTGCTTTGCTCTTGCGGGGTGTATGGACCTTCTCAGCAGTTACTGGGGAACCCTTGGTGCACCTCAACATTCCCCTGTGCGGTGTATTCACGTCGGCCCTCTGAGCTGTTTCCCCTGCCCGGCTGGCTGTGTGACCCCGTGGAACTTTTTCTTCGAAAGCCCATGGAGATTCCGTCGGGGGCGGGGGGGGGGGCAGCTGTCCCAACTCTCACCTTCTGTCAAGGGCAGGCGGGAGGCATTTAGAGGACTCACTTCCGTGTGGCCACAAGCCTGAAGGTGATCCCTCAGATGGCTGCCCTGGACATTCCGCCATGGGACCTTGTGTTTCCTGCAGACCCCCAAGAGCTCCCGGTGTCCAGGGCAGGACACAGGGAGGGCTTTGGGACCTGGCCGTGCAGGTGTGGGGGATAGCAGAACCCCTAAGCATTTGCCAGCAGGACAGTTGCTGCAGGCAGGGGGCCAGGCTGGGGTGGGGCAGGCTGGCTGGGCCGCTTCCAGGATCATGTGACCCACCCGCTGCTCATGGGGCACCCCCGCCCCCCCCCCCCCCCCCCCCCGTCAGGCCCGGACCAGCTGGGGCAGGCCTCGCTCTCTGCCCAGAGTCGGAGGGAGGCCAGAAAGCCCTGTTGCATGCTTTGACGGGGGTGGGGTTGGGTATGGGGGGTCAGCGACAAGGACACTGCTCAGTGCCCTGCCTGAGTGGCAGCAGCTTTCAGAAATTCAGATTCAGCGTCACCAATCAGGCCCTGGTCGCACTGGTCACTTGCTGGGCATTGCCAGAAAGGGGCCGCTGGGGCATGCTGCATGACCCTGGGCCTTCCTTTCTTATTTTTTTTTTTTTGTGCTTTTTGGATCACACCCGGGCGATGCTCAGGGGTTACTCCTGGCGGTGCTCGGGGGACCCTATGGGGTGCTGGGAATCGAAGCCGGGTTGGCCGAATGCAAGGCCCTCCCCACTGTGCTATCGCCCCAGCGCCCTTGGCCGACCTTTCTGAGGCTGGGCTGGGGGGGGGGGGGCGGGGGCGTGAGCAGCAGCCCCGAACTCACAGGTTGGTGAGTCTTTGCCCCCTCCCCCACACAGTGCTCCTCTGACTTCGGACTGTCCCTTGGGGCCTGCGTCCATCTGAGATGGCAGGAATTCCCTTCTACGCCAGCAGTGCATGTTGGGCAGAGCTTTGCCATCCTGGCATCCTCAGGCAGGTCCCCAGGGCGTAAAAGGACGCGCAGCACGAGTGTCCCTAGTTTTCCTCTTCGTTGTTTGTTT